AGGTGACATACGGTGCCCGAGAGCGACGGCCCCTCCGTTAACGTTAGTCTTTGCCGGATCTAAACCCAACTCCTTCTCACACGCGGCAAACTGTGTGGCAAACGCTTCGTTCACTTCAATCACGTCGATGTCGTTGAGAGTGAGTCCAGTCTTTTTGAGCACCGCCTGTATGGCCGGCACCGGACCGATACCTGTGTCCCGCAAAAACATGTGTTAAAAGCGTTAAAAGTTGGAAAAACTAGTCTAACAAAAAGCCAATTCATACCCATAATAGTTGGGTCGACACCGACGCTACTGTAGCCCACAAGACGTGCCAACGGTTTGAGATTATGTTTGGTCAGCGCCTCCTCGGAGGCTAACACTATAGCGCCGGCGCCGTCGTTAACGCCGGACGCGTTGCCGGCCGTAACGGTGCCGTTGCGTTCAAAAACTGAGGCCAATTTAGCCAATTGCTCGGCAGTGGTGTTGGGCTTCGGGTGCTCGTCGGTGTCGAACAGCACTTCTTTGCCCTTCACTTTGATGGGCACTCCAACGATCTCATCCTTGAATACGCCCCTCTTGTGGGCGTCGGCCCACCGTTGCTGCGACCGGAGGGCCACCCGATCCGCGTCCTCGCGACTGATGCCACACTTTTTGCCCAACTTTTCGGCCGTCTCTCCCATCCGGATGTTCACGTTGTGGTCCTTCAGTCCCTCCCAGAGTCCGCACTCCAGCTGTTAATCCAGAGGTTTAATTAATTTGTGTTATAACTACTGTTTTATACTATAATTAATGTTTAGTTTAGACTTACGACTGGTGTCTGCGAGAATTTGACCCCAAATCGGGCGCCTTTCAGCTGCGGGTCAATTGAAATGTAAAATTTGTGGTTATTTTACAGTTAATTATTACGTTAATTGTCGTTAGTTTTTTGTTACCAAAAACGGGGTTTGACTCATGTTTTCCGCGCCCAGAGTTAAGGCGATTTCGGCGTCTCTTAACAGTATGTCCTAATTGTGGCACAAATTAAGACATAAATCACATAAAGTTTGTGACATTTATGTAAATCAATTAATAACACAAACACATACCTGAGCGCCGGTGACCACCGCTTGAAAGCCAGAGCCGCACAGTCTGTTGACAGTAAGACAGGGCACCGGTAGGGGAACGCCTGACTTGAGGCCAACCGATCGGGCGATCATCGGTCCCTCATTGGACGACACCTACACTCATATCATTTGTATGAATACAACAATTAATACAATTTA